CCCCAAAACCCCAAAACCCCAAAACCCCAAAACCCCAAAACCCCTCTAATATGAAAATAAAATGAAATAAATATTATAAATTTATTTAAAACTTAGGTAATGGCAACTACAGCTGGAGGAACAATGCCTATGATGATGACCATGGGCAGAACAAATGCAGCAGCAGGGATGATCATTGAAGATCATATGAAAAAAGTGTTGTATAAGGGTAAAAAGAAAGCTCAAATTGTTGATAAAACATTGGCTCCTAGACTCAAGCATTCTGCTTTTGGAGACTTCCCGAAAACTCATATTGCTGGAAAGAAAGCTGGACTCCACTCTAAAGTTGCGAAGAAGCAAGATGATTTCTCAGATCTCAAACCTAAGGTCATTCCACTCAAGAAAGGACAAGGACTTGGTGGTAAAGCCGTCACTCTCAATCCTAAGAAAGAAGCCATCAAACCAAAGAAACCTAAAGCAGGAGCCAGGAAGAAAAGGAAGATCCCCATTTCTGAGTTCAGAAGGTTCTACGATAGAGGTGACTTGCCTATCATCATTGAGCACTCAGGGTCTGGCTGCAAGCTCAAGTGGACCAAAGATGTCGACCTCACCCAGCTGGACTATCACCACTATTTACCAATCTTCTTTGAAGGAATCAGAGAAAAGACGGAGCCATACCGTTTCTTAGCAGTGCAGGGAATATTCGAGCTGTTGGAGCACGGGCAGGCGAGAGTGTTGCCAGTGATTCCTCAGTTGATCATACCCATCAAGACAGCCCTAAACACCAGGGATAAGGATATCATCTGCATTTGTTTGAAGATTTTACAAAGACTTGTGACATGCAGCGAAACCATTGGGGAAGCATTAGTTCCTTATTACAGACAGATTTTGCCAATCCTAAACTTATTTAAAAACTCCAATCACAATACTGGAGATAAAATTGACTATTCCCAGAGAAAAGAAACCAACCTTGGAGATCTTATCCAGGAGACTCTAGAACTATTTGAGCAGTGTGGAGGAGAGGATGCATTTATCAACATTAAGTACATGATCCCCACTTATGAAAGCTGTGTCCTGCAATAGATAAGAAGTTAATTCAATTTTTAGATCCTAACTAGGGGTTTTGGGGTTTTGGGGTTTTGGGGTTTTGGGGTTTTGGGGTTTTGGGG